AGGACCTGCATTTTTCCTCACTTACCTCAGACTCAGAATCACTGCCCTTCTTATCATCCTCATCTTTGCCCAAAAAGAATTTCATTGCTGCCACAAGAATCTGGTCAGAGAAATTAAAAACATCAGAGGTCTATTTATGGTTGACAAGTGATATCATTTTAAAACACTGCAGTGAAATTTATGCATGTTAATAGGGACATTATGAAGGATTATAAACATGAGACTGGTGCTTTTTTATGAAATAATGGCACGAAAAGTCTAAATGCATGAGCCACTCAAGAACAAGTCTTGATCTCAGAAAGATGCTTTTGTCCAAATAATCTTATGGATCCCATTAGATGCCTAATGGGATCCCTAATTTCTAATTTCTGATTTTATTTCTGATTAAAACCAAAGGTGGGTAATTCATGTCCAGAGAGTAAAAGTCCAGACTAAGATTTTGTTTCTTTGAGTATAAAGTGTCACTGGTTGGTTGGAACAAAAGAATGGCCAGCACTTTTACTCTCTGGACCTCAGCTACCCACCTCTGATTATAAGTTAGCACACCTCAACATTGTATATTATTTGTACTGATATTTGTGTTGATGTTATCTAACAAATAGAAAATAAAATGATTGCTGTGATATATACACATTAGACCTACTTTCAAAATTTAAGCCATCTACATTAGAATGAAGCCTGTGTACTTCATCATGTTAAAGTGTGTACAAAATTCATTCCCCGGTCAAGTACTGCACTATGCAAAAAAGGAACCCATATAAATGGTTACCAGTCCTCTCTAATCATGCTGTTTATTTTTGCATTGATAAAAACAAATGAAGAATAAGGCCATAAATCTGTTTGAATGACCAAGTACACATAAGAAATGTGGACCCATATCTGTAAGTACTGCACTTGTGACAGTCTAAGACTGTTAATGGTACTGATTAATTTTCATAACAACGTTCTCATTTTCCCCCAAAGTGTGTTAAATTTCAAGCTAAATCTAGTAAGGCCTTCAAATCCATACAGGATTATATAATCAATCTATATAATATGATTTAAACACCAAACACAAACTTTAATTCTTACAATTAAAGTTACAATTACATTTTAAAAATATTACATGGAATACAAATTTTAAATGGGGAAAAACAGTATGAACAGTACTGTACTAGGTTCAATACTGGTATACTTATGTAATAAGTTATATAAGTACTCAGTAATGAGTTGTGTAAAAATGCATACTACCTTTGTGATTTTGGAGAAACATGCTGTTGTAATGACATTTACAGTTTTGGCATCATTCCTAAAATAAAAACATAGTAACCAATTTAACTCTCACAACATCATCCGTTCTCAAATACTCAAGAAATCCTCAAAGACTTCTGATGTTTTAACTGACATGTGTATGTGAGATTCCTTTGATGGAGAAATTAATCACACATCAAGTATTAACTCCCGATTTTAAATCGCAATTGCAAAAGTTCTTCAGGTGTCAATGGTTAATAATTGCAGAAAAGTGGTACATTATGTAAAATGAAAGCACTAAAGTTACTCACCAGATGTTCCTCATATAGAGCTCAACCATGACGTCCAGCGATATCTTTCCTGCCACAGCATTGCTGTCCCTAAGCATTGTGTACATGAAGTTCTGCAGACTCTAACAAAATGCAGAAGATCATAATATTACCAAGAATAGCAGCTGTTAAACCATATTCAGTGACAAGTAGGAAAGGACTAACACCCACCGTATTTACTTTGTTGTTTTTGTGTTTAGCATTAAGGTTCTTGATGTCTGATACAATGTGCGTGTACAGTGTCTACAAAAAGATAGCACAAGTCAAGCATTTACTGGAAAAGTAACATCAACTAACAGTTAAACGAAGGCCATGGCTTACCTTACGAAGAAGCTTGTCATGACAGCGCAGCAGCTCAAAAAATAGTTCAAGTAAACCAGTTGGACTAATGAGGTCCTTGTTTCTGAGAAGGATAAGTGCCTTACACAAAGTCTGGAGGTGAAAGGAGGTCAAAGCAGAAAACAGAAATTGAATTTAAACTACACAAAACATTTTGGCTTACATTTAAGGTTGGTTTCCCCCCAATTGTTATAGTCAATTACCGCCAAATAATTACAAACAATCACTATTTCTCTTCTTTATGCACACACTTTCTGAAATATTCATATTTTAAAACTGAGAAACAAACTAGAATATATATTCAAGAATGTACACCGACAACTCATTCAACAACTAAGTGCTCAGTATTCTAATGACGGCTGGTCTTTACCATGCGTAGGTCAGAATCAAGAACTGTATGATGATTTAAGAGAATTTCAATCAGTTCTTGCGGAAAACTGGACATCTGCTGCTGATAACAATGTGCAACCTGGAGAAAAATAACGGAGGTTATGGGATAATTAGGGATGCTGCACGGAACATTTACGTCACACCGATTCCAGAAACACTGTGCCCCAGTACAAACACAGAAATGTGTAATTGTCGTACCTGAGATAGAAACATAACCAGCTCTCCAAGCTCTTTACTGGGCTTGTCAGGCTGAAGTTTTAGAATCTGAACATTGGACTGGTAATGTCGGTACTGCTGTAAAAACTGGCGAAATGAGAATGGAGAGGATATGGAAAGTTTCAATATAAGTGAACACATTTTTACATTATGTTGTTCATATAAAAATCGACAATGTTTTACAGAATCTACTGGTGTATACATATACATTTGAGAATTGTTATTGTTATGTTACTTACATATCATCTTACTCACCTCTTCCGTGTAAGACTGGGGGTCTCTTTTGATAAGATTCTGCAGTTGTGGTAAATTTGTTGGTAATTTGTTGTTATGTCTTCCTGACATGATTGAATTTTGTTGACTCCACAAATTTTAGCAAGGAAAAAACGGATATTGTTAGTTCTAATACCGTAGAACTTTCAATCGCGTGTCTTAGATGCTGGTCGCCATGTTAGAAAAACCGATCGACGGATTGCGTTGAAGGACAAACAGGACGGTAGGCGCATGCGTTTTACAAATGGGCCTTACGTCATTATAGTTTTAACTGCTTGATATTTTGCATTACTCTTATTGTAAAATTGTGTTAATTTACTAAACGATACATATTTACAAGGGCTTAACCTGTCACGAAATCCGGTTTTGTAGCACACAGACCGTGCTCAAAAGGCGCCAAAGACTCAGGAGGTTCGGCATATAGCTCGAAAAAATTTATGCAGAGACATCCGGCAAGTGAAAAAGTGTACGACTACGGAACCATCAAGGATTAATTTTTTAAAGGCTACCAGCATGCACTAAACATCCAAAAACAATGTACTGACATTCACACATGATGTAAACATGTCTACACAATAATTAAAAGCTCAATAACCCGACTGAGGTACCCTTGCTGACTCTTGTGATTTCTGTAGAGCATATAAAGGTAGTTAATTTTCCATAATAACAGCAGTGCCTACTATCATTCCCAGCTCTCCCCATATGTGATATGGCAGCCCTGATTCTGAGAACCTAACATATAATTGTAAATACATTTTCTGTAACTTTTCATCCAGATTGTACTGAGGCTGGGCTTTACTCCTCAAGGAAGGCGACACCCTGGACAGGACGCAAGGTTAGTCGTCTTCAGCACCCGGAGGAAAACAACGAATACAGGGAGAATATAAAAGTGTATAAGGAAGGTTACACCCTGGCTCATTACAGAAATGATTCATCTTGAGCAGGAAGTGACCATTGTAATATTCTTTTTCCAAAGACTTGTTTTATGTTTTTATAATGAAGGCATGGCTACATTGAAAGGACATATTTCCGATATGTGTCAATTTGATAGATTTTTGCTTGTATACAATTTATTCATTCTCTGATTTGCACTTGCGTTTCTTTTAGTTTTGGGAAAAGTATTGTGTGCATCACCTACAGTACTTACAGTACTGTGCTTTACATGACCCTCCTGCATTGGGGAAGCGAACACTTACTGTAGGTTGATAGGATCACCGATGGCAAACAGGTCTTAGCATAAATAAATTTACACACACTAACTTTTTCCCGCACTAATTTATCTGATTTTATAGACGTTTTCCCTCTCTTTCCATTTATGTGGTCTACTAGCATAATTTTGGCACGTTTGGAAAAGCAGGGAAGGATCTGGGGTCTATTTACAGTAGCATGCTCATGTCAGTAGTATAGTTTAATTTATTTTGCATTTCCAAAAAGAATGATGTTTTAGAATGGTAATACTACAGGTGACAATGAACACCAAGACTGGTATGTCACAGGAGCAGCATTACCTTGACTAACACCTGTGAAGAAATTAAAGTAGACACAATGTTTTGCAGGTTTTTCAAGGTCCGTTGTTAATGTAAAATCATTACATTCGACTTAGAAGGTAATAAGAATTATTGGTAGATTTACAAATGTATGAGTGTGTACATATAGTGACCACAGAGTAGCAGTAAATGCCTCTCTGTCAATATGAATAGGGGTTTGTCATATTCAGTTGGACGTACTGTATTTGGCCTCAAATAAGTTCACATAGGATGATTAAGTTTTTATAATATGGGTGTTAGAGAAACAAAAGCATGTTTTTCTCCATCTAATCTCACCATACATTGTCCTGTATGGATCTTGCTGAACTTTATTCTCGTGTACATTTATATATAAGAAATAAGAAAACAGTTTTATGTCTTTCCAGATTTTTTTTTTATTTGTTTCAACAATATATCATTCAAGTTTACATCTATATATAGGCAGCTATTCATCAAATGAAAAATATTGGCAAAGCTATTTTGTCGTTCGCTGATAAAAACAGCATTAGGATAAAACGTATGATAGACCAAAAATGAAGTTACTCTCTTCACTCAAGAGTGTGTCTAAAATATGTATAAAAGCAGATCATACTTCATTTACCACAACATGCAAAGTGCCAACATATCCAAAATTCACTTATTTAAAATGAAAATATTAAGTTGAATGAGATAAAAATATACTCAAATACAACAAATATAAGCACAAGATAATCTTTTATTTACAAATAAGAAATGTCCTGTAAACAGCATTTTAAACAGTTTTCACTTGGATAAATATATACATTTTATTTAAATCAATTACCACAGGCAGTCAACAATTTATAATAGATTTACAAAGTAAATACTGTTGTAAATATCCTCAAGGCACATTCTCCCCCATACATGTTAAAAATGTCATTATATTGTTCCACATAAAATATTAAGCCATGTATGAATTTCACTTAAGAATTTATAAAATGCATTTAGGTTTATTAATGCAAATGCCAATGTAAGTTACTGTATGAATCTACTTTATTTCATATTTAAGAGCAGCAGCCTAAAAAGAGAAAAGAAAAAGAAAAGAAAAGAAAAGAAAAAAAAAGCGAACACACTGTCCCGCAGGACTTCAGTTTCATGGAGCAGAAAGTTTTAAAATTACAACATATGTAAACGTCCAGTAACAAGTGAATCCATCTCTATAAAACTCTGTGCATATCGACGCAAATATGTTGCTCTTGTAATGAGAATTACCACCTGGATACCTGGTAGCACTTCCTTATCCTGAGATTTTCTCCTCAGCTTGAAGACATCGGAGTACATACAAGATCACTTGATAGCAGAAAATGTACTGCTCCTGTGGAATAAATAAAAATGGAAATATTTAATTGCTCTACTAATAATTGGGCAACATGAACATGCAATTAACATGTGGTTTTTTTAATACAATTAGGCCACAACTGTACTAACCAGTAGAAAAGGAACTATAAGCAGTACAAGAAAAATTCATATGCATGTTTAGAACATGAATTAAAATTGTGATAGAAAAGTAGGATTCACCTCAGTCTGAACCATTCCGTGTCTTTGCAGCCTCATTGTACGAACAACGTTAGAAATATCAAACTAAAAAAAGAAACAAAATTAGAAAGATGAAGCCAGACTATCCTGTGAGAATTGTTCTTTCTTTGAATCAGTGGACATTTCACTTCATTGAGGCAAATATGTTTATACTGGATATGTGTGAAACATATGATAGAGGTTTACTTAGTGCTAAACATGATGAGAGACACTTCATGATGCATGGCCACTTACTGCCGTTAGAAATCAAAGACTTATTAAAGAAATTTACTTGTACTTACATCTGCATCTTTGCTTATAAGACCAAGAACAACGTCAATGCATATAAGGGTTCCAGAACGACCTATTCCTGCACTGCAGTGGGTAATTATGGGACCAGACTGATGGATATGCCTCATGTAGGAAATAAACGTCAAAAGCTCTTCTGGTTGTGTAGGTGTCCCATGGTCTGGCCAACCCGTATAGTTCAGGTGAGTAACCCGCTGGATCTCTTTGGTCTGAGGAAAACAAGATATATAAACAAGTGAATCCTGAGATGCATATGAGAAAACAAAGCAGTAATGTCAATTAAATACAAATATTTAGGTACCTGGACGTCTTTAACCTCAATAAGTCGAATAGTAAAATTATCTAGATGTTGATCCTTGATCAGCATGATCTGTAGCCTGTCATCCACCATTTCAGCAGTCCTGGGTGTATCTGGCCAATAGCGTTGACATTTGATTTTTCCTCCTTCTACTTCTTGTGTCATCATAGCAATGACATTTGACTTCTGTTCCCACACCATTTGCCAAAAGTCAGCCAGGGTTGTTGGCAATGGTCCTTGGCAGGCAATATACATGAAGTTCTCATCCTTCACTGGCATGTTGATGAAGTTGGCGTTGATATAGCCCCCGTCTTTGCCCAAAACCACGCGTGTAGTGTCAACTAAGAAGAAACATGCAGAACATGTTTTTTTAAAATGAAATGTTATGAATACAAAAGCCTTAAATACTAATGCTCTGCAAAAGTATGACATGGCCAAGTTTTTTTTTTCTAAAAGAAAAATGCAATTTTACAAACAAGACTAGAAAGTAGACTGTGGAAAAATGATCAACCGATAGAACTCAATCTCCACTAACTTATTTTATATTTTCTCATAAAGACCCCTTATGTTTTGCATTGTGTAAAATGACAGCAGGACTTTTTCATATTGTTTTAAATCTATGTGTATGTATGACTGTACATTTGTCCCCAGTGAGACATCAGGTTCCAAAGGTAGTACACAAAAAAAGACAATTAAGGTTGCTCCACTCACAGGGCACAATGTTCTTGTATCTGTTCTTCTTCTTGTTTTCTTTGGTTTGCCCTATCAAGCAATCATCCAATGGCTGCAAGTTCTGGAGGTTCTGTTGCAATAGAAGGAAATCAGAATTACACTGCAGTTAAAACAGACAGTTCTGCTATGGTTCTAGATACTGTACAACATATCACAGTAGATACAGAAGAAATGCACACCTCAAATTCTTGCAGGGGAATCTTCTGTTCCAGCAGCCCACGAAGCATCCGCACGATAGAGTTCAGCTGGCTCCCTGTATACTGGCCGCCTGGGACCACCTTCACCAGGGGCAGTGAAGTCAGTTCTTCTTCAGTAATTATTGGCCCATCTGAATTAAGCAGTAAAAAAAAAAAAAAAGTTAAAATGTGAAACATTTTATGACGTAGCCAGAAGCTGCTATACTTACACTTTGATGTTGAGTTCACAATTTAGCTGCACTGCTACTTTTATAATCTCCTGAAAACAAAGCATTTTTCTCTCACTAGAGGATGCTATTAATTCTGCCTTAAAATATTTGTAATACTGCATATACTCTATGAGAGACGCATAAAAAAATGTAATGGCCTCTCAAATATTGATCTTTTGAAATGGCTGTAATCAAGACAGGGAGCAAATTCATGATAACTAACATCACAGAGGATAAAATACAGTCGGACCCTGTTGCATCACGGGATTTGTGGCTCAGCCCCCCGTGATCTAGGGGAAAAAAATCACGTAAAAACGTTTATGGTCACACCTTGACGAACAAAGTGAGCATGCGAGTGGAGCAAAGCCAAAAAAAGGATCTCGTGAAAGGCTGCCATAGAACATGCTACAGTAGGTGTCTCCCAAAAAATTCCCATTGAACTTCTTATACCGACTCCGCAATATACCGCGATAAGGAGCGTCACCATGCAGAGCTGTGGGCTGTAGAGATCACAATACCGCCCTGACTCTCACCTCCATCACGCTTGGGGTTGATGTTTTCTATGGGCAAGTCGTCACTGCCCCATGTGATTTCATCCTCATCCTCATGCTGGCCATCCCCCGATGTCTGCAGGTGGCTGTAGGAGGGGAAACACTCAGTGTAAATGTTGCATTAATGATCACATTTGTTGAAAGATTAAGATTGACTTAATTGATCCCAGGGGGAAATACTGGTAATACATACATACAAAATTAATGAGCGACTTTGAGAATCTACTGCACAGCTACTGCATCAGCTTTGGTAATTTATTTCACTATAGGTCATCTACGATTTCAATAATAAAAATCATTGAATAAGAACATAAAATAATTATACAATTATAATAATGCCTTTATGTTTTTGGGAGGCATTATACTCAGTGTGATGAATTAGCCATGGCAAACTGATTTAATGTCCAAATTGGTAACAGGGCTTTAATTACCTTTTTGGCTGAATCTCATCAACAGACTCCTCTTTCCAGGCAGTTTTTTGCGACGTCTAAAATCACACACGACATATGGTTTCAGACACTTATTATTTATTCAGTATGTTCACACAGTGTCATAATGGTTCCTTTCACAGCAGTACCTCTGGGGAATCCTCAGGAAGTGAGGAACCATCACAGTCAGTGTCCTCAGAGAGGTCAATATCCTGACCCTCTGTTTTCTGCCTGTTTAAGGATCTTGGATCATAATCTGGGAAGAGGCGAAAGGATATTTGACAAATTAAGAATGTCAGATGTGCAATGTCTCATACAGAGATAGTTTTCATGTATATTCAGTACAGAAAATTGCTACAAGAAGTTAAAGTAGAAAGCAACCAAATGCATAAATATTATACTATATATTGACTGAAGAACTGCTTGAATACAGTGTGTGTACCTATTGGTGGGATAGGGGGTGGGGCTCTTTTGGTGTTGGAATTCTGTTCATCAGCAGAAAAGTCCCGTTTTGATTTCAGCCCAGTCTCATTACTGGCTTCTGAAATCACAAAGGTGAGCAAACATTGGCCAAAAAATGCACACAATGTTCATAGTATTTTTTAAAAATAATTTATTACAAACATTAAGCTCTTCAAGTTTACAGCTCACAAAGTAAATATAAAATTTTTAGATCAATATTTCCCAACCCAGTCCTTGGGAACCCCCAGACAGTCCAAGTTTTTGCTCCCTCCCAGACAGCCCACATTTTTGCTCCCAGGAGGGTGTTGGAAGGGACCAAAAACGTAGACTGTCTGCGGGTCCCTGAGGACTGGATTGGGAATCCACTGCTTTAGATCTATTGTAAAATTATTCACCATTTGTTCAGTAACAGAATTTATAACTAAAATACAACAATCATCTTGGAGACTACCAGCACAGCCATGCTCACCTGTGTTTCCGTTGCATTTGTCAGTGGGAACAGGTAGGAAATCCAGATAGGTGCTGGGGGTTTGGTCAGGAGGCCGGGACACCCTGAGGTGAACCAGGCCTTGGGTCTTGCGGATCGTGGTGACAGCTCTGGCATGCGATACCCCAGTCATGGGCTCTTCATTTACCTGTTTGGGCAGGAAAAACAACTGAAATCATGACACTAACAAATTTTGTGTCCGTATTAAATAAATGGATAACCCAGATATGCATTGGGTTTTGCAAAAAGCTTTATACAATGAATATTAAATTTAAATATTTTACAGGTTTTCGATAAAGTGTGTGTTTTATTTAAAGTAATAGAGCTTTGCTCCTGAAATCAAAATACAACAAATTGTAAAGTGAAGGAGGAAGTGTCCCAGGTGTTTGGGTAAACCATGTGACACGCTGATAAGCAATGTGCAAAAACCTTGAAAGAAACGCTGAAAAGAAGAATTGTGATTGACCTTGAGAGAGTCAGAGTATCGAAGCCTTTTCGCTGTGGCGAGGGAAACAAACCTGTAGCAGCCGGTCGCCTACTTGTAAAGTCCCGTCCGTGTCCGCGATACCTCCCGGCGTGATGGACTTGACGAAGATACCCCTCTCGCCGCCTATGACGGAGAAACCCAGGCCTCCTGACGCTGGCTTCTGCAGCTCCACATGGATGACCTGCTCCTGAAATGGGGGGGGGGGCGGCGCAGCAGATGTTCAGGACCATAAAACAAAAATCTGTAATACTGATTCTCATTAAAAGCAGGCTTTATGATAAATACGTTCTATAAATCTTGAATACTGGTCCAACAATAATAGAGAGAGGGTGAGGAGGAAGGAAAAAAAAATAAAAATGTGGGCGTGAGAAAATGTAAACGTCCAAGAGCAGGACAGCTGAGGAGTGGAAAAGCGAGAGGTGAGGGCGTTACCTCAGAGGGGCAGATGGCAGCGAGCGTGTCGGAGTCCTCTCCTCCATGCAGGCACCCTTAGACAGGGCGAGGGGGACACAGTCAGCTACACGCTTCACAAAAAGGCCTTTCACAGCCAGTTAAGACACTAAGTGTCGTGTTTTGAATTAATTTTCCACATCTATGTCTGTGTGGGACATATTTTAGATGAACACATTGAAATTGTTTCAATAGGCTGACAAACAATATGCATGTGAAAGAAATGACATACCAGTTACAATACAAAATGTAAGAGTAAAGAATAGAGAATGATAAAATGGCAACATTATAAATAACATGTCAACACACAATTTGAATGTTACAATTCTGTACATTTGTTTAACACGATTAAATAATAAACCTGCGAAACATACCATTGATGCTAGCTGGAGTATTCATGTTTGGGCTCACGTTGTTAAGAAATGAAGAACTTTTCTGTCCTGGTGTGACTGGCTTTCTATCCCTGTAAAATAATAAAACCACCATCATTAACACCACCAACACAAACCAATAAAATGATAACAAAATGTTGACTAAGTTAATCGATGGTCTAGAGAAACTACTAACAGGTATTTCTAAAAGATGACAGACCTTAGACATGCTTAGCTATATCAGTACCATTTCCCCCTTGCACCACCAGCAAAGTAAATGTCTTCTTTGAGCTGATGCAACTGAGATTTACATACTGACTTTCTGGATTTTCCTGCCCTTCACGCTCATGTGTGATATGTCACCTTGTGACCTTGAGCACGATTTCCTTCTGAGAGAGCTCCAGCAGTCTGTAGCTCTCGCTCAGTGTCAGGTTTTGGGCAGGCGCTCCGTTGATGTAGTGAATCAAGTCCAGGGTTCGCAGGCTGCCCTCCACCGAGGCCACAGAATCAGGAATGATGTCCTTCACGTAGAGCACTCCGAATGGACTATCGCTGCCACCACCCAAAATCAGCCCTGAGACATGTAAAAGCCCAGAAAAAAAAAATCACAAAATGTCCATGGTATTGAACTTTAACAGAATACAGAAATACTCAAAGCAAACATCTTGAAGAAAGCCGATGACACTTATAAGCTTGAAGCCCCTGAGAAATGGGTTCTAACCAAATCCTGTGTTACTACATACATACCCTCAGCAGACATTAGAATCTGTGCAAATTACCTAGATTTTCTGCTTGGCACTGAAAGGGAATATCTGGCAGCAAGTGGGCTTCTATGGGGGGCTTGGGTATCTCCAGGACCCGGCCCACCACTAAATCGACCACCTTGGGTGCTGCACGAACCAGATTCACCACCTGAGTATGGCTCATGTTGGACACATCCATGTTGTTAACCTGAAAAGGACGATAACAGCATATCATTTAACGTACTAAAGCATCACTTATGTTTAGAATTCATTCATTCAGCCAATTCATCTTTCATTATTATTACTTTCATTTTATATAATGGAAAGCATAAGACGTTGGTGATTCGCGCTTATCGGTGTACCATGATGAGCCGGTCCCCCGGCTGCAGCCGGCCGTCGCTCTTTGCAGGATCCTGTATGATATCATGGATGTAGCAGCTGAGGTCATTTCCCCTGGTCAGCGTAAACCCCAGGCTTCCTTTCTCTGATTTGACGAGCGAAACGTTCAGCTCCACTTCCTGTTGGGGAGGGGGAGGGCACTGATTGAAAATGCAGTGAGAGATTACTGTAAAAAGGGCACATTTCAGTACAAAAAATGCATCTGAGCATGGATAACAGATCTACCTATTTTCTGCTTCATTACTATCAAGTGTGTATTAAACCATGACTACTACACGCTGAGCGAAGAGTAAGTCAAAAACTAGCAACTCAAGTTGTTCGCTAAATGACTGCTAAAGACTCACAGGCACAAAGTCCTCTAACGCCAAAGCATTGTCAGCAGACATAGTGTCTTGCAGGGAGTGAGGAGAGAAGGCAGACAGCTGGGAGGCACGTTCCTCTGGGGAGGTGGGCGTGCTTAAAAACAAACAAACAAACAAAGAATACACATGGATGTTGTGCCATTACCTTATTCACTGTGCAATACTTAAAACCACAGAATAAAACCCTTTGTGACTGCGTATGTTCTGTACTGGGCTCAGCAGTGTGGAAGAAAGGCAAGACTGAACAGGGCCATTTCATAACAGATAATTGTAGAAGGCTAAAATCACTTTAGCTTCAATTCTAGAGAAACACGTGTCTGCTAAGTTACACTTGGTTACAGTGTTACTACACATAAGAAAGAGTATGTTACCTAAAATGAGTATAGGTGTCAGTCTTATTCAATGTTTTCACTGAAGTAAAACTAACATATACATAGAACTGTTTTTGATTAAATCCAGCTATATTTTACTTTCTAAACATTGTAAGGACTGGAATCAAATTGTTAGGTACACTGACAGATACATAGACATAATTAATATTAATAATATTAGTTAATATTCATACCTCCTGTTCATCTCAGGCAAACTGGGCGACTGGTTGGGTGAATAGTATGCAGAGTGAATCGTGCTGTCGACATCACAGGAGGCTTCATAGGGGTGGAGTCCTGGTACGGGCTGTTTGTTGGGCATGTGGTAGATGCTTGGATCCCAGCACTGAGGGCTTTGCTCCTGCGACTGACTGAAGGCCTTCTCGATTTCCTCGTTGTCGGTGCTGTCGCTGTAGGAGTCGCGCCGCCTGGGGGATTTCAGCAGTAGCCTTTCCAGAGCCTCTTCCACTGGATCGGCATCCCACTGCCTGGAGCCCACAGGTGATAGGTCGTCGTTTTGCAGCCCGACAGCCTTGGCAGAGATGGAGTCCATTGGGGCAGTGAGCTCTACTGGAGGCGATGCTTTTGAAGTCTAGAGGAGGAACAGTCAAGTCAACTGGTCAATATCACATAAATAAACAAAACGCAGCCAATAATGCAGACTGGCTATGAAGTATTTTTTTTTCTTCCTACCAAAGTACTGCTCAGGACAGGTAGAACTCCTTTCTCGGGTCTGCAGAGAAGCAGGGTGACCTCCTGACCTGTTCCTCGTAACGCTGAAATCACCTCCTGGGACAAGCAAAAATACATCAACAATATCAATCAAACACATACAGATATGGACTTTCACAACATGCAATCTGTACTTGTCCAAGTTCACTGTATTACACATATAACTTCAGCATGAATATTTCCGGGTAACACCACCAAGGGAAAAAATGCACTGATTAGCTACTAGGTAAATCCAAGTCGAACACAAGCAACCTCAACTATGACTAATAAAACAAAACCATACATAATTCAATCAAAACTATTGCCAGTGGAAAATTACAGTAGTTGTTCAGAAAATTAACTTTCTGAAGAAAGGCTATTTAGAGCAGCACTGACTAGATATTACAGGTCTTAGTAGTTACCTTTACCTTTAGTACAGCTGACTGGATATATGTTGGAAGAATATTATAGAAATACCTACAGTTTTTTAAAAATAAAGAATTAAATTAAATTGCTATAAGGTAATATGTACAAGACATACGTGTTGAGACAATCCTTTGAGTGAAGTCTGGTTGACCTGGAGGATGACGTCGCCCACTTTGATTAAGCCACTCTCTGCAGCCGGCTGTCCAGGGAAGAGCTTCTTAACCCTGACCATGCTGCTTCCAGGGGGCTCGGTTGGCAGCTTCTCTTCACGGCTAAAGCTAAAACCCAGGCCTGAGGAGTTCTTCTGCAGACCGACCTCAAACACATTGTCTAGGAGCACAAAAAAAGAACATAAACAATAGATTTTGCACATAGGTATAATGAAAGGCAAATGAGACTGCACAAAGCTCCAGCGTTTTAAGGCAGTCTTCCCCATAGGATAAACACCAAATACAGTACTTCAATGATTTTAGTGATTCGTATGCTGAATATTTGCAGCACGCATTTCCCTCCCAGGTAGTATCTATACAAGCTGATGCCAGTGCTTACCATCAGTGACAAAGCTATATTCTCGGTCTGATTTTTGTGCGGGAGGCTTCCCGTCATGGCTGCCTTCCTGGCTGGGTACTGAGGGCGGGGTGGACTTTGGGGTGAGGGGGGCGTGCACTCTGGTAGGGGGGGGCTGACCCTTCTCCAGGCGAAGATGCACCAACTATAAAATGAGGAAAAACAGGAAGTACTTCCAAGACAAGGAGCTTCACACCAAATCCAGATAAAAAAGACAGACACCTACAGGTCCTGTAGTTCAACAAGGAGAGCAATGCAAAACAATGCCAAGGTCACGGGTTCAAATCCCACAGAGCACATATAAATTGTAATCCTTCCCTGTACTGTAAGTATTAGGGAAGAATGTATTGTGGTAGTTGCTGAAAACAAACTGTGGAGTATTAATGAATTTCTAATACATTGCAATATAAAATGAATTATAAAAGTAACTACAGGTACAGTAATTTCACATCCACAGTATATAACCACTGAATTAATATCTTTATTAAATATTTGACTTACCTGCCCAGTATCTCTCAGGGCTTCCACTGCCTGCTTGTGAGTTGCTCCTTCTAGACTTTTCCCATTAACAGCCACGACACGGTCTCCTGGAAAGAGCACATGGCTGACAATTATGGAAAGAAAAGGCCACGGTAACGTTAACCACGAAAACTCCAATTTGCCATTAAACGACCATCACAGGCCGTCATATTTATTGTGCAGCTGCGGTGCTTTTTTACAGGTCACATTATTTCAATCGTACAGACATGCTAAAGAGTATCAATCACTGACGGCAGAAAGAGGAGGAGGAAGGGTAAAGGAGAGGGTACCCTGTATGGCAGGGCTTCCAAATCCGGTCCTTGGGGACCCACAGACAGTCCACGTTTTTGCTGGAGCTGGGTAGCGGCAAAAACGTGGACCGTCTGTGGTCCCCAAGGACCGGGCTGGGAAACACTGCAGTATTCACATCACATGACCCCTGCGTATTTTATTCTTCACTGCAGATACTTACCCTTCTGAATCCGTCCATCCAGCTCAGCGGCTCCGTCAGGGATTACGGCTTTAACATATATTCCCCCATGTCTCACACTAGTGTTTACCCCACCCTGCAATGAACCGTACAGTTACCATCACGGACACAAATGAAAGGTAGATGACTATTATACATCCAGCTAGAATGGGACTATTAATTTCTCACATTAAATTTGCCGACAGTTCAGGTATGAGTTCACTAATAAGCTATTATTACAACTGAATAATTATAATAAAAGCAATCATGTTACTATTTCATGTTTAAATAATTTATGTCAAAGGAGGAGAAACCTATTAAAACTACAATACTCAGCAAACAAACTTACAGAAGGTGCCAATAGCAGGATTAATAATTTATTAGTGATATTTTTAGCACATACTTTTAAGTAAAGTATGTGCTAAGGTCACTGAGGTTTCATGCTCAGCTAGACACACACACTTTAGACAGTGATGCCCAAATGCTGCATTCCAAAAATCTGCATGCTGTTGGAAAGCAAATCACACTTTCTACTAAGATTAAGCCAATCAAGAACAAGCAGTGAGAGTAGGATCAAATAAAATGTAAAGAAAATAGAAAAAAAAAAGCAAAAACCTTGCCAAACAGTACCGTGACACTTATGCCCAGGCTGTTGTCCTTTTTGGACAACTGCACGTCAAATAGATCTCCAGGAAGGAGACTATTGACATCTGGGTCATTATCACTTAATTTTCCCATGTCGCAGTTGGGAGTTAACTCCTGTGAACAGAAAAATTCTGAATAAGTTGGCTGCCGTTAACACAAGTAACATGCAAAGATAAACAGGCAGGAGTCAATGAAAGATAACATGCGAGAAAAATTGCATTCACATCCCAAATGCAATTGTGTAGAAATCATACGATTAGCAGCAAGAAAGGTAATGCAGCCTCAGCAGTATTAGTCAGTTAATTCTGTGTAACTCAGATCTATTGCGATCTCACATCCCACTACAATTTGTGACTGAAAAATTATTTGATGGAAATTATTTAAAAAAAAAAAAAGTAAAAGAAAAACTTAAGAACCTGGGCACCCATTCATGAAGTATTCAGTGTTGGACTGTAATATCCATTTACAGTCTAGAGCAGGGGCAGCCAACCTTATCCTCATAGAGCCAGTGTGTATGCAGGTTTTTTAACCTTTAGGTCAGCTGTTCAAACCCAGGTGTGAGGACTCTTCAGCCAACCCGTCCTCCAAGTAATTTAATTAGGGAATTGTAGCCAACACACACACACACACACACACACACACACACACACACACACAGCCCTTTCTGGATAAGATTGCCTACCCTTCGTCTAGACAAAATGTATTGTGGTATATAGTGGTAATGCTTAAGCAAGACAATTGATTGTTTCATAAAACTTCATCTAAATATTTCCATAAATTACTTATTTAATTTCAATTACTGTCTTCTGTCCACACACAACCATATGAAGGCCACAGAAAGCTCTAAAAGAAGAAGTGCTGGTGTCTCCTCAGATCAGATGCTACACAGTCCTGATAAAGACATACAGCTCTGGAAAAATGAAGAGACCACTCTAGATTTCTTCAAAATCTGCTTTTTAAAATCCTGGTTTAATTCAGGTTCTGCTGGAAGGCGGCTACACAGAGCGACAGGCTGCTTCCAGGCTCAAAGTTTCTAAGCCAGCAGTAAATAAGAAACAAGATGAAGCAGGAGACACTGGGAATGAACAGAACTCAGCCAGGTAGTGGGGGGGGGGGGAGTGACTTTTTACTTATCCAGCAGTGCCTCATGAATCAGAGGATGACCTCAAGTGACCTTCAAAAAATGGGAAACATTATATAGTCTGAAGTGCACTGCTAAGACGATTCATAACAGGGTCCTAGAAGCAGGACTGAAGACCCAGAAAGCAAGGAAGAAGCCCATCATCAATGAGAAGCAGGGAAGAGCCAAGCTGGAGTGAATGTATATTTTTCACAGGCGAAATGAGTGAAACTGAAAGTGTTGCTGTGGTCTCATTTTTTTCCCCAGAGCTGTATGTACATATATACACACACCTCAATACCATTTATATAAAGGGGGGGGGGGGGGGGAACAAAGGTTATTTCAAAAGTTATAGAACTCAGACCATGTACTTATTCAGTGGTATCTATGCACAGACCTGACTTGGTGGCTTTATTGTTTTAGGCATTTTCTTCTCCTGACTACTTGAGCATGTGTCTTCATCCATGTCCGAATCTCCCCTGTCTGAGTAATCGGGATCCTTGGAGAGCTCTGGGCTTTTAGCTTTCCTCATCTTAGGAGGCAAGGCTGGGGGCGTAACATCAGAGAAGGTGCTCTGTGCTGAGGGCTGGGCCGTGGGATCCGCTAGCGGGTGGCGAAGGTAGCGCCCAAGGTGTGTCGGCGACAGGCTGGTGCTCGCTGTGGGGGAGTCTGGGAAGATCGGACTTTCCTGGCGTCCCCCGGGGGAGAGAGCGGGCGGCTCTGCCTGAATGAGGGCGGGGGAGCCACGCCCATCCACATGCTCCTCAGACGACGACTCTGTGTCGTCCTCTTGTCTTTCATGTGATGATGGAATCTGGCCACCATCTCTGAAGTGAGCCAAACCTGCTGAAGTATCTGAAGAATGCAAAATGCAAGAAATTAACAAGCCCTGCACCTCAACGACCACAAAAACAACAAGTCGTACGTACATGGTTAGATAGATATCTGCAGCTACCTAGGAGAATCTATTTTGGTCTGAAACATCTATTGTGAATATTGTTATGCATCTAATTTTTTGCAAAATAAATGCGCTAAACATCTGACTTGAGTCCAAAAGAAGAGGCTAAGTTTACAGATGCCACAGTTAAAGAAAATGTGCTCAGGGAAAATGTATTTACAGTAGCAAACTTATGAGCATTTAATTTTAATCAAAGCAAAAAGGCTTATGGGATACCATCATAGAGCCTTTCTTTAGGCTGAGAGACGACCAGCGTGACATCATCTGGTGTGTTCTGGAGGATCTCAACTGCAGCATCATGTGGGATCCCCTCTAAGTTTATACTGTTCACCGAGATCAGACGGTCCCCTGGAAAGAGCACACCTTCAGTCACACAAAATGCATTGCAACTCCAGAACTTAGCTCAATGTTTCCCAGCCCGGTCCTTGGGGACCCACAGTCAGACCACGTTTTTTCCCCCTCCTTCCCAGCTCCCTTCCAGACAGTCCACATTTTTGCTCCCCCCAGAGCTAGGAGGGAGCAAAAATATGGACTGTCTGCAGGTCCCTGAGGACCAGATCGGGAAACACCGGCTTAGTTGACCCATTTTGCACAACCAAACTGTCTGAGCAGCTCGCTCTTCAGTGTTGGTAACATTAGCCAAGCCATTCCAAGATGAGATCAAAGGAAGAACCTGGCTTCAGGGTGCCGTCGATGTCAGCAGGCCCCCCCGGAGTGATGGAGCTAATGAACGTCCCTAGATCTGCACGCCCAGAATTCTCTCCTCCAACTATCTGGAAACCTGCATGCAAACAGATCATTACATTTGTTGGAGATGGGGGAATTCAAATTCAGATTAAACTATTCTTTCCTCCCCCCGCACAGAAAAATATTTAATATAATTTTAGCAAAGTAAAATTGATTACAGAGATTTCAAAAACTTGATTAAATATCCAGCTGCAATACTCTGCAATTCCTTCCTGAGGGCTGTGTGTGGCATTCTATAAAATCATTACCCAAATGTAAGTAGATCAAGAAAGGATATTTAATATAAATATGCTAACTGCATAACTTGTGTTCAATAAACTGCCAAACATTTATAAAATCAGTCAAGTAACTTCATTAAAAAAAAGTAATTACAATCAGAGGAAGTAGTACTTACCTGTATTTTTTATGCTATAAGTATGCTGGATACTTTAGACAAGAAAATGAATTTTATCTCACTGGTTATCGTAGGTCATCTGTCAACATTTCAGTGTGATAAGCAGTCTGTTTACCAACTCACCCAGGCCATACTTTACATCCTTCTTCAGGTTAGCTGTTGTAATCGCTCTTTCAGGTGACGGCAACGCAATTATCTTCTTTTTTAAAGAATCTGTTCAGAAATGTGAACTCATTAGGAACAGAGAAAACACTAGGTGATCATTGAAGCTTTTAATTCCAAAGTAGCAGTTAGTAAAATCATATTAACCTGGATTTATCAGATGGAATAACAGAAACATTGTTACAGAATGTAAATTAGTAAGTGTTGCATGCCATCATGTTCAATGTGCAAATGGATACAATCTTTCATCTATAATTAATGCAAAATGAATGCAACATATTTACAATTTTATCACTGTTCAATAAAGGCGACGAGCACCAGAACCTATAGCCAGTTTCAAAATGGACAGAAAACTCAATCATCATTATCTACATGAGACTTTATTCTTACACCCATATGCAAAGCAAACTTTAAAAGGTGTGATGTTTACAGTATATATGTAGTCAAGTCTACTAGTATACATGGATGACCTAGGTCCCAGGACAAGGAAAAAGCATTAGAATTTAAAACAGGAACAGCAGCATAACAGGAACGGCAGATAAGGCATCTAATTCATGTGTAAACTGCTGTGTACAAAGGAAGGGATGCACCAGGAAAAGAAAATTCAAGCTGAATGCATTAAGAAAGAGGTCATGCAAATGTTAAAGTTAGTCATCTTCAAACCTACAAACCATTGCTGCTGAAGTCCACTGAAGTTTAACATTTCAAACAATACTCATATCAGTTAATCAGCTTTTTAGTGGTCAAATGAACACTATAACTCAAACACTCTGTTTTGGTTCTGATTATATATGGGCTTCAGTTGTGCAGCTCATTTAAGTTTACTAATCATTATATCTACAAAACACTTTGAAAAATGAAACTTGTCATTTACTTCAAATTTATCAAACTAGCTGATAAAGCATGGCCAAATGTAATATTAGGTTTTATGTAACATTGCAAGGGATCATAAGCATTAAAGGGACTTAATGTGTTGTACAAATTTAAATGTATCATCTCACTGAATCTCCCTCATTGGTACCTACAGCAGTCAAAAATAATCCAGATAATACAGCCGCAGAAAAAATTAAGCGAGCACATTTTTAAATCCTGGTTTAATCATGGTTCTGCTGGCAGAAGGTTACGCTGAGCAGCATGATGCTTCCAGGTTCAAAATTCCTAAGACAGCAGTGCACAAGAATGAGGTGAAGCAGGAGACACTGGGAATGACCAGAAACCAGCCAGGTAGAGCGGGGAAGCGACTTTCTAATGCCAGAGATGACCCTTAACTTATCCGACAGTTTCTCAAGAATCACAGGATGACATCAAGTGACCTTCAAAAGGAATCGGAAACATTAAGTGCAAGTGTGAAGTGCACTACTGGGACAGTTTAGATCAGGCTGCTACAAGCAGGACTGAAGTCCCGTAAAACAATGAAGAACGCCTTCATTAATGAGAGCCAGGCTGGAATTTGCAAAGAAAAAAAATTAAATATTATTGACAGACACACATCCATAAATTGAGAAATGAGTGAAATAAAAAATTGTGCTGTGGTCTCAAATTTTCCATGGCTGGGGATAATTTAAAACTACTTAAGGAATTTTTTTAATATAAAAATTTGATTGCATTCGAATTCTGTTTACTTGTTTGTGTATTACGCCTTTTCACACCATAAAAATGTAAACACGGAAAGGAAACATTTCCTCTTCCTTTTCCAAATATTACATGTTCAGTAATCTGCACAGACTGAGGTGGACTGCAGTGACTCATGGATAGGTAAATCGAATGCTCAACAAGTGAACGATACTTGTGAAATGACATGAACATTTCCCGTTAATATGTTTCATAGACAAATCCGAATTGGGACTCTTTTTGCTGCTTTTCCACTAGTGTGCTGAAACCAAATAGAAGCTAAGCTAGGCTTTTTATGCACTGAAAAAGAATTGCTAGTTCTGCTGGTTTTTCAGCTACTATTAAGAAAACAGGCAGAGAAACTTTGAGGGGATCGAGGCTATATTGGTCACAAGGCCACAATCTGACCATTAATCTGATAAACCATTTATCACTATTCCCAGAACACTAATCTAAAATATTCAGTATAACAATCATCTGCTAACAATCTTGTATCCAATTTTGTATCCAAAATAAGCAAACCAAACATCTCTGGGTAACAACTAAAAAAAAAAGGTGTTAACCGTAGATAGAACGACAAACTAGTAAACTATTTACCTAGTGACCCGTTAGACTATTTACAGCATTTTAGCCTATGTTTTAATACAAAATATACACACTCAACAATGACAGACTGATTAATGTCCCCTTAATGTCAGGTAACACATTATCTATAATAAAATGGATTTCAATAAAATCTCAGAGAGAACCAATCATGGAAAAACCATTAAATTAAAAGGTTTCATCAGTTTAATTGCTAAATAATTTCACAAAATAGCATTCAAATATCTTCAGCTAAAGTTTCGATAAACACTGCAAGTACACACAATGCTAGCTAGATTAACAGGCTGAATCACCTGCCATCTGCTCCTGAGATTTAATGCTAAGGGTTTTCCATTCAAATAGTATAGACTCATGACAAATATATCAGTAATTTGCTGATTAATAATGCCCCTATAGCAACAAACTACACAGCTATTTTAAAAATTTCTAAACATAGCACCTTCGTTGTTGTATATCCATCTGGGAATAATTAATCCAGTATAGTTAAAAAAAAATAATAAATCTACACTTTCAAAACTGAAAACTACTTAATCTTATCACAGTATCTCCTAGTTACGGAAGAGGATTAGGGCCACCATGAAAATATTATTTGAATTCTGACTTTAATCTCAGAATTCTGACTTTNTCTCAGAATTCTGACTTTAATCTCAGAATTCTGACTTTAATCTCAGAATTCTTACTTTTTTTTCTAAACTCAGAATTCTGAGATTAAAGTCAGAATTTTGAGATTAAAGTCAGAATTCTGAGAAAAAAGTCAGAATTCTGAAATTAAAGTCAGAATTCTGAGATTAAAGTCAGAATTCAAATAATATTTTCATGGTGGCCCTAATCCTCTTCCGTACCTAGTTAATCACATCTAGATGCAGGAATATAAACTGGGGAATTAAAGATACACAAAAGTACAAATGCATCATGTGCATCTATGTTTCATGCAGGCTGCCTTGTCTATACTGACAGCATTAAAACAAAAGTAATTCTAGTGGAAAAGCAGCATGTAGTGCAAGGTCTGTTGCTGTATCGTGTTCACATGCATAACTACATGCAAATATAATAAAATCAGTCATTTTCTCTGTCTTATTGACCCTGCCATGAAGGCAGCAAACGAGGCCTTCGACTGATCTAAGAAATCCTTCCTAGTCTCTGAAGAATAAAAAACTGGCCAGCATGGAGAAATGCACATTAAAGAAGTGCATGTGAGTACATGTGAGGTGTTTTAAAAAACTCAAAGAATCATGCTTTTACCTGACAGTAGGTGTCTGCAAGATTGGTAGAAAAGGAGAATTAAGGGACAGCGAAAGGAGGCAATGAAGTCAAATTATATTCCACAGACCTAGACTTGTGGTGACAAACACCAGTCCTTGCAGAGGCCACACTGCATGTGGGATTTATTCCTAGCTGAGGTCTCCATTAACCTTTTTTAAACTGCTTTAGCTATTGTCTGAATATCCACATGTGCATAACTATTATGGAATTTTATTTATATATATTAGTTTTTCAGATTCTCAAATTACAGTGGTACCTCAGTTCTCAAACTCATTAGAACTCAAATTTCTTAAAAGTCGAACCAACCAGTTCGAAGAAAATTTACCTAGGGCTCGATCTGAATCTCAGAAGTCAAACCGTAAATGCCGACCTAAGATAACTTGTACGTGCGGGGAAATGAGTCACGCGGCACGTCTCTCAGCGGAAACAAATGGTAACGCTTCAGTCTCAGCCTCGCATTCGCTATGATAGCACCGTGCATGTTTACACTAGCTGAATACATATATTTAGACAGTAAAAATACATTTAGACAATGATAGACAGTAACAGTAATTACGATTATATAATAAAATACATAAAAAATAAATATTTCTCATTAATTATTTTAATATTAATAATAAACCATTAATACATCTCATTATAATAATATTGTCTTGCCGAGCGGGACGGAACAGAGACAAAGACGCAGACGTCAGGGTATCGGGGAATACGGGGTTTAATTACAGGTAAGGCAGGCAAACCACAGACGGACAATACAATGACCGGACTGGGGAAACAAACTGAAACGCGGGCGAAATACAGAGGACTAATGACAACAACTAGAAACAGCTGATCACATGGGAATTCCACACGGGGTTAACAAGGGGGCGTGGCACACGTAAAGAGCGGACGATCGGGGCAGGACACATTGTTTGTTTTTTTTTTTACTTTACACATTGCTTGGATACATTTACTGTACTTTCTTACTTTACAAATTACTGTTTTGATAAATGTGCTTAGATGTGTTTAGTACAGTATATGCTCTTCTTGTTTTATCTGGTTCATTTTGTGTTTAAATGCTAAAAAAAAAAAAAAAAAACATTTAGGTGTAATTTTTTTGGGACCGGGAACCAATGAATTGGTTTTCCATTATTTCTTATGGGGGAAATTCGATCACGACTCAAACTTTTTAGGATTGGATCCGGAGTTCTGAACGGATTAAATTCGAGTTCTGAGGTACCACTTTATTCAATAATTTATAGCCTAGTTTTTCAGCAGCTAAATGGTACTTGACATTTCAGCACAATGAGTGATGACTTGCATTTATTTAACGGGAAAGAATTTTTCCCCAGTCTCATCATTAGAAGTGTACTTTAACCAGATTTGCAGCAGCATTACGTAATTCATTAGGTCAACAACAACAAAAAAAATAATAATAATTTGGGGGGAGCTAAAAGTAGCATAATCTGTGCCCTGCTAGGACTAGTGTCTACCGACTCAGAGGACATGCAATTTCAGATTTATAAAGAAAGAGAGAGCCAGGCCAAACGTACCGTTGACTGCCAAGCAACCCAGTGAGGATGATAGATCAGGCGTGCGCATGCTTACTCCTGGAATACAAGTTAAAACTGACCTTGAAAGAAACTGCGTACTGGTACAAAATGTGGATTAGTGCACTGTTTCTCAATCCGATCCTTGGGGACCCTGAAACAGTCCACATTTTTGCTCCCTCCTAGTTCCCTACCCAAGAGCTGGGAAGGAGCAAAAATGGGGTCTTGGGGTCCTTGAGTATCGGGTTGAGAAACACTAGATTAGGGTGTCTACAAATATATAAACACAAGCGTAAATTTTAACCAGTTGCTAGAGAAAACAAGGAAGCTGACTGGGAAAAGAGAAAAAGCCAGCAGAGGAAGCCTTTGCCATAACTGGTGCAGAAAGTGCACCTTACAAGCATTCGGCTGCGTTTGGGTGCATGCTGGAGTGATGCAGTGCAAACTAACTGAAAATCCAGACCTTCAACATAAGCGTGTCCAGTTTCTTCAAAAGAGGAACAGTCTGATTCCTTCTTTAACCTTCCCGAACTCCAGCTGGGGCTGCTGTGGGCTTTGGAGACAAAAATGCTGTGGGAAAAAAAAGAGAAAAGACAGGGAAAAATCGGCATAAAAGCATAGCTAGTGGAATGAAAAACAAACATTCCAAAAACAGCAGCAGGAAAACAAAATTATACAGGGAAACAGGAAGTAAGAGCTGTATATATGAATCCTTAATACAGAAATCCATACAGACAAAACTGAGCGACGCACCCTTGCTGCTTGCGAGCCACAGTAATGGATTCTGTATCGGAGCTGGCACGGTGATGAGAGGATGGCACCTGGGTCTGCTTGAGGTTCATCTGTGACTGATTGCTGTACAGTTGCGCCTGACTTTCTGGGGACTCTGGCACTTGGCCCAAGTTTTGGTGGGAACGACTCATAAGTTTGGGGTTTGAGTTGGAGCCAAAGCTGGAATACGGGGAGTCGCCAGTGAGCAGGGGCCGGCTCAGTGAGGGCTTGTTGAGAGCCATCTCCGAGTAGGAAATCCGCTTCATATGGTCGGAGTCTGGGCTGCTGGCTGAAGTGGCAGCTAAACTGGCAGTGCTCACTGCCCGCTCAATGATCGGGCCTCCGGACAACTGGAGGTTGCTTAGAGGGCAATTTTCTGCAAGGCAGACAGCATTTGAAACTAAGAAGTGAACATTCAATGAAAAGGATGCTTTCTTTAAGGCAGTGTTTCCCAACCCGGTCCTCGGGGACCCACAAACAGTCCACGTTTTTGCTCCCTCCCATCTCCCTGCCAGACAGTCCACGTTTTTGCTTAGCTACCAGTAGGGAGCTGGGATGAAGCAAAAATGTGGACTGTCTGGGGGTCCCTAAGGACCGAACTGGAAAACACTGCTTTAAGGAATGACATGACAGAATCATTATAAATGATAATATTCTCATATGTTGAAATACTATCTACCCATGTCCTGTAGCTCCTGATTGTTCTGCCGGGTTTTCATTTGCAGATGGAATTTGTGCTGGCCAGTGCACAGGTGCAGTAGGTATTGGCAAGTCTTGCTGTTGTCTGTCTGAAAGTGGTGCTTAATACCATCCGAGGTGTTCTGCAAGCTGATCTTCTTCTTCTGCAGGAGATAGAGGAAGGTATAAGGAGGAGCTGCATCTGCTGCTACTACACAACCATAATTAGCAAAATTTCCGCAAACACACACATACATGCTTATCAATAGCAAATAGAGATGTCTCACCGTGAAGGAAATCTTCTTCGTTTCTCTCCAAGGGAACCTTAAGACTGGGGTTCGAGTTCCATTTAGCACCTCAAAGATGAGCACTCCCTTGGAGAACACCCCCAGCATGATGCCTGTCTGAGACCTCTTCTCTGGAAGAACGCGATGGAAATGGACCCCATACTCGGTTAGCCTTTGGCTGACCTACGTAACAGAAAAACATCCATCAAGAACACAATGCAGTAGGCGGCCATTTAAGGCGCCGTAACCCACACACTCCCGCTGAAGTTGTGCCTAGTCCATTTACAAATTTAGTCTTCAAAGGAAAGTGACAGACACTTAGTTACAGAAGAAAAACAAAAATATTACTGTTTACATTTTGGCTACAGCTAAGTCCACCATTATATGTAGGGTTCAATTCAGTTAATTCTTTTTATATAGTGCCTTTCACAAGTCACCCCACGGTACTTGACAAGAATGAATGGCAATCCATTATTTCATCATCTATACAGAATGGTGTATGAAACAGGGAAGAGGGATACTCCTTGGTAAGGTAAAAAAAGAAGACATTTAAGATATTTTAAGAAAATGGTTGCTTTCCTAAAAATAGTGTCCACTTCATTCCTTGCATGTTTTTAAGCATATTTCAAGAAAAATGCACTAGTGAGCAGCTAAGGTATGTGGACTTACCTTCAGAAACTCAAACTCTGCCTCGGGCTCAGAAGCCCCAAAGTATGCGCTGTGTAGCCGGGATAGATCTTCTTTAAGGGATGTTTGGTTCATTTTGTCCAGCACGGTTGCTGGCAAATAATGCTCAAGTCTGAAGTATGTTTTTCCATGGAGCTAAAAGACACAATTCACATTTTATTAATTAAAACTTAAAATTAAAACAATAATTCCAATGTGCCGGGAATGCTGGTTTTATGCACAAATGGCAAATAAAAATCTCGTATCTCGTATTGTATCTCGCAAAACTGTTTTGGCATAAAAACATTTCGGCAGTTGTTATTGTACGATAACCTATTCCTATTAACTTAAATAGTCCATCCATCCATCCATCCATCATCTGCCGCTTGTCCGGGGTTCGGGTCGCGGGGGTAGCAGCTTCAGTAGAGGCACCCAGACCTCCCTCTCCCCAGCTAACCCCACCAGCTCCTCGGGGGGGACACCGAGGCGTTCCCAGGCCAGCCGAGAGATATAATCCCTCCAGCGTTTCCTGGGTCTGCCCCGGGGCCTCCTCCCTGTAGGACATGCACGGAAAACCTCTCCGGGTAGCCGCCCAGGAGGCATCCGCACCAGATGTCCAAACCACCTCAACTGGCTCCTTTCGACGTGAAGAAGCAGCGGTTCTACTCTGAGGCCCTCCCGGATATCCGAACTTCTCACCCTATCCCTAAGGGAGAGCCCAGACACCCTGCGGAGAAATCTCATTTCGGCCGCTTGTATTCGCGATCTCGTTCTTTCGGTCATTACCCATAGCTCATGACCATAGGTGAGGGTAGGGACAAAGATGGACCAATAGATCGAGAGCTTGGCTTTTTGGCTCAGTTCTTTCTTAGCCACGACGGACCGGTTAAGCGCCTGCAGAACTGCAGACGCCGCTCCGATCCGTCTATCCAGCTCCCGATCTCGCCTACCCTCACTCGTGAACAAGACCCCGAGATACTTAAACTCCTCCACTTGAGGCAGTACGTCTTCCCCAACCTGAAGAGGCACGCGGGACTGTCCCCAGGTGGGCCCACCACCCACAAGGGGAATGTCAGGGGTTCGGTGCATTGTGGATCGGGTGGCGGCCAAGGGAGGCCCTGGCGGTCCGATCCCCGGCTGACAAAACTTAAATAGTCTTGACGTTAAAAGTCGCATTTCAGAATTCCTTGGTGAGATGAGTGAAATAACTGGACATCATTATCATCATCGTCATCATATTAACCTCAGGCTGGTAGTCTCCGAATTCCACTTGCAGTGCCAGCGACGCCAACAGCATAGCATTCTCGGTGTCACATCTCATTCTCTCTTCCAAGATATCCTTACGCAGTTGCAAGTAGTACTGGTGTTTTGTCATTGTGTGCCTGAATAAAGTAATGTTTACGTTATTTGACACTATGCATCTGCCCACCAATCTCTTACCTTTTTGAAAAACGAAAATAATACCCATGTCCTAAGCATGCATGTTAATTGTAGGAGGGAATGAACTAGAATCTTACTGTATGAGATTAACATCATCCAGGAAAAACTTGATTCGAAAAAACAGATTAAAGTTAACGTCTGGTTTCTTTCGCTTTGGCTCGTCCTTCCAACCTTCTGGGGCCACTTTCAAGAGTTTGGCCTCAGGATCGATAAAAAAGAATTCGTTTTCTGCAAAACAAAAAAAAGAAATGTACTTCACAATATGTTGATTACTGAGCAATGCCACATTGGGTTTTACTGCATTTAACAACATTAAGTGATTGTTTATAGAAAATAATCCAAAGTAGTGCAGAAATGCAATTGCAATTTTTGTTAAAAATGATTATTCCTTGATGAATAAAACAATACTACCAAAACTTTACTTTCAAAATATTTCAATTTTAAATATTGCTTTCTGCTAATCTGGTTAGTACCACTAAAATAAAATGTCATGGAAGAATACTTACTACTCAATCCAAATCTACAATTCAAGATATTTTCTAAATATTTATAAACAAAACTATAAATATTTGGACAAACCACATCTTTGTTTATATTACATGTTAATGTGCTCATAAGAATTTACGTTTTGCTTTGAGTGTTTTTATATGCTTTTATTTATTGTATCATAAGCTGCATTAAGTTCACCAGCAGCTACCTACATGCAGCAATAACAGCAGTATGCAGATGCATTATGCAGCTTAACTTGTGTCAGCATCTCACTAACCTTTTAGGGTGGCAAGTGCAAAGAGATGATGTTCCACCAGACCCACGTGAGCCACCACCATGTCCAGGACATCCTTGCACATGGCCTTGATGTCACAGCTGACCTCCAGACGCTGTCCGTTCAACAGCACAACCCCCACCTTTCTCATGACCTCATCTGGCTTCCCTTTCTTATTCTACAGGGCAAACACACACTCAGTATTACATGTTTTACGGCTATTCTCTATTCTGCGTGCTACTAAACACACCTTCTCAAACACACATGCACACACTTCCCAGCTCATACATTATTAAATCTTATTATTTTTTCCTCAGATTCAGAGCAGACTAGAGTGGTGCATGAACATTAAGACTTTGTTTCTCTTGGAATAGACTGGGAATATACATGTTGCCAAGAGCAAGTAGAAGTTCTTGACTATCATATTTTATATATTTTTTGTATTATACATGGTTTATATTCTCTGAGACAAACAAAAACCTAAAGACATGCTGATATTTGAGGGAGAGACTCTACCATGATTGACGAAGGAACAGTCAAGGCAACACAAGGCTCACTGGCCATCTTAGCGAATTCTGGACCAAAGTAATTCTGCAACACGAAGAGAAAATAAAAGTGAAAATCAAAAGTATATTGTGCATAAATTTTATACCCATATATATATATATTCACCCTATGCTCCATAAATTTTATACCCAAATATATATATATTTGTAACAAAAATTTGGAAGAAAAAACAAACGAAAATCGTAAGGGATCCCTCATTACCCTGGTTTTCCTGTGAGGGAGCAAGCTGTCCGCCAGGCTAATTCGCCGTGGGTCTGGGAGATCTGCAAGGGACACAGAGGGCTCCTCGCCAGCGAACAGGTTCGAGTGGGAGTGCTGGAGGGCCAGGTTGCTGGTCAACCGCTGCATCTCTTCTTCGTGTCGCTGTAGCATCCTCTGCGTACCTATCAGTGCTCCTTCCTGCGCGCCCTCATAAAGCCTGGGACAGAGACACACAGCATGCCCACCATCATAGGACAATCTCTCCCCATTTATTTAGGGTGGAAATACTCATTTCATCCAGCAATGCCAAAACTCCGTCGACAGCCACAACATTTTGTTATTAAGATGCCGGGGCTTCCAGATAACACTAAGCAACATTCTCAAGGCCAAATTCACAAAACTCAGAATGTATTTCAGAAGAAATGTCTCAAAAGTAAAATGTTTAAATAAAAGCTAATAGAAATACACACACACACACACACACACACACACACACACACACACACACACACACACACACACACACACACACGTAAGATAATCTGTTGTTAACCCTCTATTGGTTAATCTTCTGTTAAGGACTTTGGTGAAGCTATGCTAGGGAGTGATCTATACGAATGTAATTGTAGCTGAACTGAAACTGTACTACACAGCAGGAAGTTCTGTGGCCAGCAGTGTGGCCCCGTACATAGAGAGTCAGGAGTGCTATTCCTGTCTCTGGCTCTGTGCCTGTGGCATTTGCATGTCTGTGCCAGGTTTGAGTGGAATTCCTAGTGGAGCATGTGATAAGGTGCCTCTGAAAATGCATGTGTGATTGTGTGAGTCTCCGAGCCCTGTGATGGACTGGCATCCTGCCCAGTGTGTTCCATGCCTTCTACTGCCTGAAACAGGCATCATGACCATGTCAGTGTGTACCTGTCAGTGTGTACTGCAGGGGTTCTCCAAGTCCGGACCGCATTGGACCCACTAATGCACCTCATAAATCAGTATAGTTAACGTGAAAAGGTTTTGCTTGGTTTGAAGTACAAAACTAGAACCACCAAACTTTGCAAACACACCCAACACACCCTCCCACTGACAAACAGTCGAAACGAGCATTAAACCAGTCTTTACGTCAAGATCCCATTATTGTTCTACATTGATGTCTCATTCGGAAAGATTGCTAATTCATTAAAGTTCATGAAATGCCGTTTGTTATTGAAAATTGTTCTGGACCTCAGACTTCGAACAAAAATCTGATGCGGACCTTTGGTAAAAAAGTTTGAAAACCCCTGTTGTATCGAACAGGACGTATGGCAAATGAATAAACAGACATTTGAATCACAGAGTTCTGCATTAATAGTTACTTATATATGTTTATTTAAATCCTGAAGAGACATTTGACACACAGAATGTGCTGCATCAGATAATGAATAACCAAATGTGATGTCAAACACCATAGAACTGTTGTATAATTGACAACAACCATCTGAGAAACTCACATGAGCCCTCAATGGAAAACACAGCCAATCATAATTTAGCCAAGGTTAAAAAATGTTAAAAATGCTTGTTAAGTTTTGGCTTGGAAAATACCATTAAACAAAACAAAGCAAAACATCCAACCTGTGCCGGTGAGCGGCCTGACTGCCGAGAGACAATTCCTCATGCTCAGACAAGGCTGCCTGGGAATTGTATCTTCTCTCATCATCTGGTTTCTTAACTGCGAAGGAAAGGGTTACTTTATGTCAAAATAAAAAACAAACTTGTCAAAGAAGAAACAGTCCCCAAGTTAGGAACGAGATCAGTTCTCATCTGCCTTAAGGCGAATTTGTAGGCAAGTCAGAAATGTAACAGTACATAATAATTATACAGTAAAAGAACCTAGGTTACTGTACTGTACCTTGGACTGATGTAGCACTGAAGCCGTGCAATGTTTTCATGAGTGTCACCAAGAAGTGTGTGCATTTGTTATTAGGAACCATCACATTTAACCCAAAGGTTTAATACCACAGGCTTCATGGGAGCCCATTCCTAAGTAGGAGTTGTCATCTTTAACCAAAGTACTGCCTGTATTAAACAAATTACCTGCTACCTTAAAATATATGATCACATAAGGAAATATCTATTATTCACAAATAAGAGTGGTGTGGAAGTACCTTGTCGGTAGTCCGGATCTGAGGAAGCCACAGACGGACTTTCGCTAGATGAGCTATAATCACTGTAGTACCTTCTGTGTGTGTGCAAAGAATCTGGAAGAAGGAAGTAAACGGTTATTTGACACAGAATAATCAGCTGCATTGTGTATTCTAACGCAAGACAAAAAAAAACCAACAAAATTCCACCACTGTAAAATTACCCATCCAGGAACAAGGCCTGCCAATTCCACACAGATGCCTAAAGCCAATTTGTAAGATTCATTTTTTTAATTGCCATGTTACTCCGGGTGCGAAATCTATATTAAATTACCTAGTCCTACAAGTAGGAAGTCTTATTAAAGCCAAAAGCATTGAGAACTAGTTAATTCACACTCATTCATCTATTCAAAATACAAGCAATTGTCCATTTGGGAATTATGAAAGAATAAATTCTATGTTATTATTACAACACACAGAATATGCATAATGTAAAATATTCATGGAAATTGCATTGTTTTTGCAATCTTACTTGCAAGTGACTGAGAAACACCACAAGAAAATCTCCCAAAAAGTTGACTTTTATAAAAAGGGACCCGACTTCATAGCTGTGTACACTGTTGCATAAGACTGAATCACTAATTTCACCTAAATCCCATTCAACTAAGTCGTGCTTTGTGCTCATAACTGGAGATATTAAAACAAATACTGCCTTAATTGTAATTAATCTAACTAATAATAGATGAGCAAAGTACATTTTCCATATTTCAGTAAGAAATCAGGAGATAAGTCCATTCACAATTCATTACCACAAGCAAAGCTCAGTGTCAAACCAATTTCCTGAAACATTGAAAGACCAGAAAGATCTGGGAGTAATTAAGACAAACCAGAAAACCCAGTGTGGACATTTTCCATCCACATACCTTGAATACAACACATTCTTTAGGTACCATTTATCGCAACATTTTTGAAACCTTGTTATAAGACAATGGGTTTCACCCTGTGGATGCTTTGTGTCAACATTTAACTTAAATATGCTGCTCTATATCTGTGGAAAAACAGTCTCACACTCATTACACAATCAAGAAATGGTTTACCCTTCTCTGTAGAACAAAAAAATACTGATACCAAGAACCACTGATCAGCTGAGCTGCCTTATTACATTCTAGGACACAACCAGCCAAACATCATATAAAAATCTTTTCGTCAAATTCACAGCTACATTTTCCCTCTCAATCATAAAAGCATAGGGATACTCCTAAAAAAATCACACAAGTAATTAATTTTCAACAAATCAGGTCCACAAAAAAGTTTACAGATAGACATTTTAAATCGCATCTCCAGAGTGACTGATAATGCAAATTTGAGTAGCTCCATAGCACCTTTAAGGCAGGGTTATAGCATAAGGACCAGTATTTGATTGTTTTTGCTCTGCATCGTGTGCCCCCCCCAAAAATGGAAGTTTATAAAACAACCACAGCATTCTTCTCTAGGGTGGTTGCTAATTAACTAGAATTAAATACACACCTCATAATTAAGTTAAATGACACTTCTGTTCAATACACACAATGTTTATTTATAGCCCAAACACTATACTGGTCTTAATTCCTGCATCTGACAACGACAGGCCCAATATGTATACATCAAACAGCGAGAGAAGTCAAGGCCCAACTTTCCGCATTTATCTGGGAGCTGCTTAATGCATTTTGCCGCACCTGGAACATTTAATGCAAAATTTTAAAAAATATATAGTTGATATTGTCATAGGCAGGGTCATGAGGGCCTGAAGCCTCTCTCAGGAGCATAGGGGGCGAGGTAGGGGCAACACCCTGAATGGGCAGATACTTTTAACTACATGTCTGTGGACTACAAGGGGAACTTCATTGCACCTGGAGGAGACCCATGCAATACAAAGGGAAGACATCCAAACTCCACACACAAAGCACAGGTGGGTTTCAAAGCCTCAACTTCAGTGGTGTGATACAACAATGCAAGCCACTAAGCCACCAGGCCATCCAGAACGTTTCCCTTTGCCTCTTAGAAAAGATCAGTCAAAAAGTTTCATTTTAAATTCTTAACACAAAATGGCTCCAAAGGCTTAACTGGTCCAAGAAGGGAGGGACAACCCATCTGAGAAATAAGGAACATGTCAAGACACATTTCTTTCTGTTTCAAATAGGATCCAGCCCACTCACGCCCATGCTGAGCCTGTCTGACTCATCAAGGTGGTATGACTCAGAGCACACACTGAATCCTGAATTAGGCTGGTGTTCTCATTTTGCCCTCCGGTAACCTCCATGAATGTAGAAACAACTCTATAGGATTATTCATGGACAGGTGCTGCAGAATATTAGATTTTATCATCATAGGTAAAGCTTTTCTAGGAAATCTACATATTAAGCTACAAATAAATACCTAAATAATTCAGGTTCATTATTAGGACAGTATGTATATAAAATTCATCTATAACAAAAAGCAGGAATCAAGCAAGTACTAGATGTAAAACCTGCAAGGTTATATAGTACAGATTCAGTAATCAAAGTATCTTATTCATAAATTCAATCAAACAATTAAATTGTATCACTTCAGTATAATATAGCATTGTTCATACAGCATCATGTCTTTCGATCAGAAAAATCACTTTTCGGCTATTCACACATTCCTGTGCCAGGTATGTGCCAATACTGAGGTGCCAGATGCTGGGAGATTAAACCTCACTTCCTATCACTGAAGTAGGAAATTGACTCAAAGTGCTGCCTGGTGATGACGAAAACAAAACAATGAATTATTAATGTTATTAGAGGACACTTATCACTACAGCCATTTGTCCACCATTTCGGTTCTGAATCTCAGAAAACAGGAGTATACTAAGTGTAAATAATTCACTTGGTTGGTAGATGTTCAAGAGAGAACAATAGGAAACAGATTTATGCTCTTCTTTGTGGCACAGTATGCGACAAATGTTTAAATTGTCATGAAGCAGCATTTACTTTACTCTTTTTGATAAACTAGAGCGGACTGATAAATCGTATTTTCATCATTGTTGAGATATGATCATGTGTGATAAACACAATGCAAAATTGCAATGAAAAAGAAATCATTTCATTTACATGCATCATGTACTCAAACTCAGCATGCAAACATTGGACCTATCAGATGGAGCTGTCCTGCGAAATCTCTTCCAGCGTACAAATTCCTTCCTCCTGCGATGTGTGCGAAGTGTTTGGCCGATGACACAATCGCGATAATGCAATCGTGACTTTTCAGTTAGCCCACAAGTTTCAAGTTCACCCTTTTCTGTAGCAAGCATTTACACCAAAAATACGTTTATGAATGTTTTAAAAAAGGTGTTTTTTTAATCCTTATAAAATAATCATTTACATTTAGCCTGATAGTATAAACAACGTTTTACTATGGGTTTCACTTGCATGTTTTATTAGATTGCTAATATTTAGCTCAATTACAGCATGTTTTATCGATTACTGCATATAAAATACTTTTTACGAACATTTTTAAAACAGCATTTAATTATTAAAAATCATTTACATTTAGCCTGATAACTGACATGTTTTATTATGATTTAGCTGATGTTTTATTAGATTACCAGTGCATATGCAGCTTGATAGTCAAGGGCCTTGATCATTGTAATGGGAGACACGTGTAATTTATATTTAATTATGGAAGTCGCTTTCCCCCCAACGTTTGTTTATTTATTTCAAGAGATGCTTAGAAATATTACACAGTAAATATTAAAGACAGCAGGAGAAATTAATTTAAATAAGACATAAGAAATTAAAATTTATGTTCCGTTTCATTGGTTGGACATTCATGTACAATTTGTCCAATAAAGAATATTCTAAAAAAAAAAATCCTTTTCTTTATATAGTGACCATAAGCTATTCAGTGTTTGGGGTCAGAATTAGCAGTTTACCTATCAAAGCAGAAAAAAACAGGAACTGTACAGCTAATACGCACTCTTAAATATTTATCGCAAGTCGTATCGTCACTGTAAAACTTAACATCGTTATCACACATCGTATATTGTCCTCATATCATGCAGGTCTAGAACTAACCTGCTGCAAGAAAAGTCAAGGTAAGCAGGTCTACTGAGTAACTGGCCAACGTGAAGAGAAAAAAACGCCTGATTTTTAAGCATTTCACAGCAATCAGCCGATTAATCAGACTACGTGGCCGATAGTGATGGCTGCACGTGGGTGTGTGTGACTGATGCATAGCCAAGCTGAGCACTCACTATGTCAGTGTGGTAGTGTGGTTGATCAATACCTACAGTAGTGACATGGCAGTACAGTGAATCTGCATGGCAAAGGTATGAGTTTTATATACTTACCGCTTACACTAGTTCCACTTGATGAATAACATTGCCACAAAGCCGAAATGATCTGAGACAATGCATTTCCAAACATGCATCTACTTCTGTCAGTTCTGGGTCAGTGAAATAGAGTAAGGAATCTATCCATCCATCTTTCTACCTTTAATGCAGTTTAAGGTCAGCGAACCTGGAGCATATCACAGCAAGAAGGGCACTAGACAGGGGAAAACCCCGCATACAGACAAACACAAGTGCGCACACACACATAATCACACCATATGGGCCACTTATTGATGCAAATGCACCTAACCTCATGTGTTTGAACTGTGGGAGAAAGCTGGAGTAACCAAAGGAAAGCTTCAACACGTTGGTGAATATGCAAATTCCATACACACACACACACACACACACACACACACAGCGGGGGCAGAATCTGAGCCCCCAAACATGGCAGGGTGAGGACAGAGTGCTGCTAGGATTATGAGAAACATATTTTCTATTCAGATGCTACTAACACAGTTTTGGTCTGAATATCCACAACATATATGCACTTCTACCATAAGGGAGTTTCATGCAATTTAACTGTTCAGTTACCACACATTTGTATATGCTACGTCTATGTAAAATGTCTGATGAGTTGCTTGATTACGTCAGAGTCTTGATAACGGGGCTTGTGAGAGTGCAGTGGTGGTAATGTGAAAACCACTATCATGCTGCACAAAAATGTAAAAAATATAGTAAAGAAATATTTAAGTCAATCATGAAATGCTTGGGTAATCCAATTCACGTGCTTTTTTTGCATTAAAAAGGGATTTTTCAAAGTACTTAATGTGGTTATGACTAAGAATGATATGGATAGTGAATGATGTCGACATTACCCATCTTTAAAACAGCCAAAAAGCTGATATTTTTAAATCAGAGACATCTAGTTTCAGTGTCTTCTCCAGTTACATCTTTCAAGCATCATTTTAAACTCGTAATTTACTCTCTGCTGATCCCCGAAATTCTTCATAGAAGTTTAACTTAACAACAATGTTATTGGAAGAGATTAGCTAATAGTGTCTGCTTGATGGGGACTCAGCACATCACGTTTGCTTCATGTCTCATCTCTGTATTACCTGGCCTGAAATGGCTTAGTATCACTTTCAGTAATTTCCCATTCGTTGTGCCCTACAATGTCTATGGGCTGGATTTTTTACATTTCTGTGGAATTTAAAATTTCTGTACTCAAAGTGTTCTTTTCATTGGACACGTGTTTTTAAAATAGCACAATATTCACATCTGAAATATATCAATGAATGTATAGTATGCCTGACAGAGCAAAGGGGGATGCTGACTTAATGGTGGAACTGAGCCATCTTAAGTATGAGGTACAGGAATAGCTCCTCCTGCGCTGTTTTTCCTAATTTTATTCCAGTTTTCCCTTCAGCACTTCCTGTCTGTGCTCAGGCCTCCATTCACTATTGCTTTATGCACACATCTCACTCAACACACACAAAAGATCACTTTGCCGCTCGGCCTCTAACCACGAAACAACCCCAAATGCAGAGATGTCCAGTGATGCTGGGAATCCTCTCATCTGCTGCACATGACTAGAGTTACGTAACCTTGGAATGGTAGGCGCAGGGTAGGACCTAGGCTGAAAATAGGGGGGTGTCATTTGATGATATTAGATTGTTAGTGATTAAAACGTCCTCATGGTCTGTCTTTACGATAGGGCTGGGCGATATGACCTCAAATCAATATCACGATTAATTGAAAATTTTCCTTAAGATCAATGAATGCTTTTTTTGTTTGTTTTTTGCCCTCATATTTCACTGACAAGGTTTGTACTACTGTATATGCTCTGTAAAAGCTGGGATTTTTTTCCTAATGAAAGATTGTATTTCTTTATGGTTTTAAAATAGTTGAAGGAAACACACAGATTAACCATTTATGGTTATTCATTGAATATTTTGAGCAACTGAAATCAAAGTACAAATCGCTGGAAATGAAAACATCTTATGAAAAAAGGTCACATTTTAATGTCAAAAGCAAGTTCCCTATAAAGTAACAAAAAAAAAAAAGAGTTTGAATTTCTTGCAAACAAAATACATTGTTTATAGTGATCATGTCTGTCTGGGTAAAATTAACATTTTTTTTCATTTTCTTTATGTCTCAGGCAGATTACCATCTAATTGACATTTGCATATTTATTACATGAATATAAAGTGGTAAATGGATAGCGTCGCTATTTACTGAATTTTGACATCTTCAAAATACAGTACAGCCGTTTCAAATGCTTCTCAAATTATAGTACTGTACAAATTACTGAAAAGTGTATAATTTAAATATGCTATAATACAGTACAGACCATGAAATATAGCTTATTGTAGTTTTGCTACTGCATCTCGTTGGCCCATTTTTGGCAGTTTATCATACTTTGATAAGTCTATATTCATAATTGAGAGAATATTACTTTTTTTCCTCGTCATGTTTTCTGTGCATGCAGTATTAGCCTCAGGTAGCTAGCCAGAAGCAGACGGGTCATTGCAAGGCAAAGTAGGGTGATCAAAAGTAAAAAAAAAAAAGAATTACTACAATTAAAATTTTTTCCATATGTTGTCATCTTTGAAAAAAAGCCCCAAAATGAGCACTGTAAGCAGACAACTTGATAAGCAAATTAACCAGTATTTGTACAAGAATGATCCATTTTTGATCCATTAAGTGGTTGATCACTATAACTGATTACTATAAGTGGTTTCAACTGCATTTTAAAATATTGCTAGTGTTGAAAGCGATGGGTGCTATTACTTTTGGAAGCCGACAGTCTTTCTGCAGTGTTTGACCTTTTTGTTCAGTGTCGTCTTCACTAAAGCCACAATGTGTCCAAATGACGGACAATTTTTTTTTCTTTGGTACAAACTGCTCTGTGTTTTAGTTCCCCTCCATGTTCCTTCCTTGTCGCAGACTGGATGGGTGGAGTCACGCGATAGCACACGTGGTAGTATGATTTAAGGGGACAGTACATGAACACAAAATTGTTAAAGTATTAACCGAATTTAAAAAAAAAAAAAAAAACACTGAGTAACCAACAAGAGCAATTCATCAGAGGTTGTAAATGTTGGTTTTGATTAAATTTTTGTTTAATTGCCCAGCCGTACTTCACGAAGAGATTGTTAGTATCATGTAACAGCGCATATTCTATCAGTTGCAATTCTATTGCTCATACATGCATCTGAAGTTGTTTTGTCAGCCAAATCTTTTTCACCACACCAATAAACTGAAATTCACACCCTCATCCCAACATACAATGGGCAACATGAAACACATTCTCTGTTAGGCAATGTAGCAGCACTGATGGCATGTAGGATAATAATGCTTCTCATAAAGAATAACATCGGTAATACGTGACGTTTATATTTTTAAAAACCAAGTTATTTGCAAAATATGCAAATAAAGCTTGCATGTTGGATGGCAATTTGACAAACCTTTTTAACCACATAAAATAAAAAAAAAAGAGTATGCTCTTATTTTTTCTTACGTGCTTATCTTATAGGTCTATGTTTTTAAAAATAAGGAAATTAGTTTTGGTTGCATGGCACAGTAACTTGAGAAATAATCTTAAAATCAACATGAAAAAGAATCGTGACAAGATGGTGGATCGATACTGCCAGAAAAAAAATCATTATATATTTTTCACGCATCATCCACCCCGAAATGAAAGCACCAATCACAGCAGAATGAAGATGGTAAAACCATTAAGTCATGTAACCTTATTGCAATTACTCAAGTGTCTTCAGTTGACATTGAAATAAATGAACCAGGCTATACCATATATAACTTCATTATTTGTACAACTTAAGCTAAAGAAAAGCAGTTATGAATGCTAGTTCATTTATTTTATGAGATGCCTTTTTTGCATTTGACTCCTTGATAATTACCCTTATGGACAGCAAATCACAAGAAACCCATTTTCTAAGAAACATAAAACTCACTGATATACGTCCTGAACTTTTACCCAGCAATCTCAAGGCGTGAACTTTACACCCCATATAAAAAGAAAACACTCAGAATGTCAAAAAGCATAGGGAAACGCACAGCAGCACAGGAAACGTCAAGTATCCAATGACATAAAAAAAATATGACTTGGAGTTCTTGAGGAGGTTCAAAAGTTGTAAATATTGACGCCATTCATAACTTTCTTCCTTAAGCTTCCAGAGGCAGGCTTGACAGCGAGGTGCACAGAGAGTGTTGTCTCTCCATGACATGAGGAGCTATCATTATAAAAACTTTCATAAAAAGTAATTTTAATTTATTTATTTATTTACTGCATTTTAATGTATTATTTATTTTGCCATCATTTAAACAGAAAACTACCTGGAAATCCTCCATAAATAATCAAGCACATGGAAAGAACTCAAGAACAGTGTTTAAACACTTTTGAGGAAACCCTTTCCTTGCAGAAAACAACTTTCCTTTTCTTTCATCTGCAATGTTTCTAACTAGAACCAGACATTTGGCATGCTGCTGCACGGTGACTCATACATACTGGCAAAACATAAAATTTTAAAACGAATTAACTTCTCGGTTAGTTGCAGAGTATTCTCAGAAACCACTGAAGGCCACTCAGTGCCGTCTAGCCCCTCTTTTATACAAAGTCTGACTTCCTCAACCCCTAAATTACCCAGCCAGGTTCACACAACACACTTAAGTCTGGGATTCTGTGTGCGTATGTATGTGTGTGTGTGTGTGTGTGTGTGTGTGTGTGTGTGTATACCCCTAAATGTCTTTTAGATCATGATGCAAAAATCAAGTTCTCTCCCATATAGTTTAACAAAGATACCTTGATGACATCACTCACCCTCCGCTGCATCCATGGCCTGTCTGAGGGCGTGAAGCTTCCGTTGTCTCTCTTTTATCTTGTCGTATGCACTGTTGAGTTGTGAGCTAACAGACGGGGCTGAGAGATGGTGTGGTTTTTGGGACTGCGGTGCTCCATAATCAGAGTATCTGGTGTCCCTGGCCCGAGTGGAGGACTTGTGTCTGCCCCCTGATTTCTGGCTCAGGGCACTGTTGCCTCTACGAGCCTCCTCCAGTGCCCCAATTCGGACCGTATCCAAATTAAAGTAGGCCAAATCCATCGAGGAGGCCCAGTTCTTCCTGTACTGGCCAGGATCTCTGCGGTACGATGGGGGTTTCCTCTCAGCCTCAACCGGCCTCCCACGCTGCTGAGAGAAGAACTCTCTAAGGTGGTACTCTGAAGGTGGATAATGGGAGATGCCATCTTCTCCTTGGAGGAGGTCGTTAATGGACAGGGACCCCATGGAGCGGCTGAGGCCTCTGCTAAGGGGTGCCTGCTCCTGGGTCCGGGATCGATAGCGCTCCAGAACTCGCGGTGCGGCACTTCGTCCTGCGAAACCAAACGGAACAGACTGGGTATGGAAACCAGCTAAATAAAACATAAAGCAATGCCCGCATTTAGTGGAGAGACAAAAATGCGAGACTTCAAGAGGGACGCATGACAATTAAACAAAGAAGCCAACTGTTCTCGTGCCCAACATAAAAATGACAACATGCTCTAGAACCCACTTCCAAAATGTTCGATATCGAGTTTAAGATAAGGAATAGGAAGTTTCAGAGTTCACCTTCAGCCTCTCAGTGGCCCAGTTAACGCTAACCCTACCATACAAATAATATCTGCCCCTAAGAGGAAGTGCTTCAAGAGAAGCTTCAGATGACAGCAAAAAGGGACATTCAGTAATGTTATCACAGAAAACAAATTTAAACCTAAATTGCAATGAGTTTAGCGATAAATTCAGAAGCAATAAATTCACTGCAAAGACGCAAACGGTTACCTTTGTTGGGATCTTAAAGAAACAGAAAACATCAGAGTGGCATCAATAATTTAAAGGAGGCAGAGAGGTCCAGTGAGTCAGACCGCTGTCTCACGTCTCCTGGGTGTGTGGAGTTTGCACGCTCTCCCTCTATTGGGTACGGTTCCCCTGGGTACTCTGGTTTCCTCCCGTAGTTCAGGACCATAAAGTCAGGCTAACTGGCTTCAATAAACTGTCTGTGTTTGTGCCATACAACGAACTGGCATTCCATGAGGATGTACCCCCTGCCTTATACCCCATACTGCCCGAGATAAGCTCCAGTCCCCCCCGCCTTATACCCCATACTGCCCGAGATAAGCTCCAGTCCCCCCTGCCTTATACCCCATACTGCCCGAGATAAGCTCCAGTCCCCCCTGCCTTATACCCCATACTGCCCGAGATAAGCTCCAGTCCCCCCTGCCTTA